CACGTTCTATCAGTTCAAGGCATCCTTGCTTGAATAGAAGTTTTGATTAAAAATAAAATGTATACTGACTCAAAACTTTTGATAGTGTGAATTTAAAAAAAATACTGTTCATGCTCATAAGACTAAGTCTGCAGAAGAGATTATTTAGAAATATTGGATATATCGTGTTTAGCTCTTAAAGTGGTAGGTCTTCAAGAGGCCAATAGCTATAGTACAATTAAATGTATAGTGTGAAACAAAATTAGTTATAGAAAAAAGAAAACACTAATAATATACTATAGTTATTATTCCATGTTTTACACTCATTATAATATATACTCTATGTATCATACAGGATTTTAGAGTGGCATGTTACCAGACATAAAGCAGAATGTTAGTATTTACATAGGGTGGAAATAGCATATGCTTTCCCTCTGTATGTGAACATTATTGTATAAATACCCCTGCATTTACAAAGCCAGATTTCAACAGCTGTGTGGAATCATCCATAAAGCATTTCACCTGTCACTCACATAAAGGTAAAAGACTGATCTTTGCTCTTTGAATATCTCAGGCAAGAAAGGGTCCCTAACCCCCGTTCCTGGCCTCACTCGTCTATTTTTGATATTCCGCTTATAAGTGATTTGAAAGTTGATTGTGAGCAGATAGTCTGAAACTTTCCTGTCAGCTACTTTAAGGGCAAATAGATAGCCTCATGAATTATGCATAGGAGACAATTTTCTCTCAGTCACTGAGTCATCAATCAGGAGCTTTGCGAGGACCCCAGAATCACCCAGCCCTGATACATTCAAAGCCACAGGGGCAGTTTGGGCAGCTTTCACGAATTCTCTCCACTTAAGACAGCAGCGGTGCGAAAAATGTCCTTGCTGGCCGGCTAGCTTCACAATGTTATGCTGCTTTTCGTATTATTTAAAATGCGCAAACTGCAGGTGCAGAATGGTTCTACTTTTCAAACAAAGATGTATTTTTATAAGGCAAATAAATGCAAATATTTGCACGTTTTGTCTTTTTTTTTTTGTTGTTGTTGCTAACAGACGTGTGGCTGAAAGGACCCTCTAGAGCAGCAATTTGATCCATGATTGCATGCATTTACCCATGTAATTGAAATAATGAGAGATGATTGCTTTGAGCTATTAGTCATAAGTTCCTGATCTTTTTGTTTAATCCTGGCATCAGCTGTCAGTGTGCTGGTAGGAGCTTTGGGGAAGAGACACTAAGGATATCATTTGCATCACCTCAGACTGTAATTTTTCTTCCCCTCTTTTTTTTCATCTTCTTCTTTCTCTCTCACCCTGTCTGTCTGTCTGTCTCTTTGAGCTGATGTTTCTTAATTCTACGTAGCTCTCCGAGGTGCATGGGAGTGCTCATGATGTTTTGATGGGAACAAAGTAAGATAGAGCCCAAATATTCATGGTACTCATAATAACCAGGATGTTGTCAGACGTAAGCAAAATAAAAGTCTTGGCAGCAGGTGTAAGGAAGGTGTAATTCTTCCACAGAGGCCATTTTGCCCTAATGGGGACAACAGCCTGTAACACAAGGTGTTATGTATCACTCCACCAATGAAAAGCCCTCACAGCGTTTTACAAATGAAGTAATAATTCCCCATTGTATCGGGACAGCTGTCTGAGACTATCAAAACAACAAAGGAAAAGAAGCGGGGGGGGGGGGGGGGGGGGGGTAGATAGAACGGCAATTAATCACAACCATTATCTTCAAGACGAATCAAAAGGTGTCAAGCTGTTTTCTAAATATTACTGTGCCAGCAATATTTGATTATGAATTTGACACAAGACAACTACTACAGCAGGTATCATAAACATCTGGTAATTACAGAAAGACAAAACATTTGCCTTGTTTATATCAGCTGCGGCAGGCAGACTTGTTTAATTGGATTGCATTTTATTGTTAGGCTTCGATTTTAAACTTTGGAAACACATGGTATGTGTTTCAGGTGGTTGATGTTAATAATAAAGATGGTTGTGACTTCTGGCACAAAGTTAGATGCTTTTGATTACACATTGTATGTTTGTTTTTAACTACACTCTGAAAGCTTACAGGGATAAAGGGCATGTTTTTTTTAGCGTGAAATCTAATTTGTTAGTTGATTTGCTGCAGCTTTCTCTCAGAACTTTCTTTGACTTTTGTTATTTGACTCGATGGCATGTATTTGTTTGAAATGCTACATTTTGCTTAACTTAAATCATAGTTCTGTCATCACAGTTTAATCAAACCTGTATGACCTTTCTTTGTTCTGTGTAACACAAAATAAGTTTTTTTTTGTTTTTGTTTTTAAATATGTATATTTTTTGTACAATGGGATCCAGTGTTGTTTTGGACCCCCATTGAGGCAATTTTCAAAACATAGTATTTTGTGTTCAACAGATGAACGAAATCCATGCAGCATTGGAATGACAAGGATTTTCAACTACCCCTTTAATCTAAAGTAGTATGATTAATGTTTATTTGTCTTTGAAACATGCAAAAAAAGGCTAATTTAACACCAGACATCAAATCTCTCGCTTTTTCTCTCGGCTTCTGAAAGTCTCGCCAGATAGTTGCAAGTAAATCTCTTGTATTTTTGAGCAGGAGAGACGGCGCATTAGACAGAGTGACAATTCCTGCAGGTGAAATGTGTGTCAATTCTCCGATGAATGCTCGTGTGTCTCCCTTCATTCTCTATCCTCTCTTCAACCCATCTCCCAAAGGTAACAGGTATTAGTAAGAGATCTGTACATATTCCCCTGTAGGCTTTCCTTTTAAGAGCATCCTCTTCAATCGCCACTCCTATTCAGCCAAATCTTTCATCTAAAGCATCCACTGCAGGCTATTATGAACCCTGACACTTACAAAAGAGTTTTTTTTTTCTATCATATCCACCTGCGTGTCAAAGAAATGATGTGACACACATTAGGGGCTGTATTTCTCTCCGAATCTGGGTTCCTGTCTCGAAAGGGGAAAGGAACGGCGGAACTGACTTTCTGGATGCTTCGCCGCTATTCTGAAAGCGCCGCCGTTGTTGTTTGTCTGAGGGTTCGCTTCTTTTCCCTCCGAGTCTCATTCCTTCTGTCAGCACGTCTGTGAGTGCAGGCAGGTACACACATGCGCCAAATAAGCAAGGTCACCTCCAAACTCTCTGAATGTATGAAATCTCTCTACTTTCTGGGCAATTTAGTGCTATTTTCTTTTCTTTTCTTTTTTGCAGCCGGGTGTTTGAGATCCATAACACGATATGGAATACATTCTGTGGTCACTCGCCTGAACTCTCGCGTTCCAGGTGGCCCCGGCGTGCTTTTCTGCTCAGCGGTACGAGGCTTTTTAGAGGCGTCGTCTTCCCCCAGACACAATTTCAATGTTCGAAGCGTTACAAAGAGGCATGAGAGAGATCTCACTGTTATCGCCTAACACTCTTGCTACCGTAATTAAATAGAAATGCAAAGCACAGAGCAATTTGGGCACCGGTGAAGGCTGGATATTTCCTTTAACAGTTACAATTTAATTGGACCATATCAATTTATTTCACATTTTAAAATGTCATGGCTTCGCAAGAACTAACAAAATTTGCATCCTGCACAGAATGTTATTGCACAAGAGCGAAATAAATATATAAGTCTAAATGCCAGTGTAAATGCCAAGTATTTCGAAAGCCGCTAAAGTAGGCTTGTAAAAGCACAGCATCCTCTCTCCTGTGCCTGCTCTTCGCAAAGTTTGCCAAATGCTTTCAGTGCAAGCAGTCGGGCTGGCTTAAAAGGATAGCAAACTGTGTCATGCCATTGTTAGTGTTTTGACATCTGTTTTCAAACTCAAAGAATTACTCATCCACACAACCAAGGAGCTACAACTTTGACACGCAGCCAATGAGGACAAAGGACTACCAATTTGTCCAATAACAAATTATAAAATACACCAGAAGCCACACTGTAAATTAGCCAAGGTCTTTAGATGCCTCTCCAATAATGAGATAAAATGTGCTGCAGTCATTTAAAGAGGATTTTATATCATATGCTTTCCATTGCTGTCATTAAACTGTGACCCTTAAGTGTGCGTTTAAACAGGATTCTCAGTTGCAAACTGTTAAACTGCTGTAAATATGAACCATCGGCAGTCTTTCACCATAAAGCAATGTGCGTTTGCAAATTAAATCTTCACTCTTGTTTATTTGATTTTTTTTTTTAAATAAGAAAAGAAATTCTCATTGGTGTTATTCTAAAATACATTTCTGTTTTCTTTTTTTAAAAATAAATAACAGTATTGTTTTACTAAAGTCATTGTTATAAAATTGAAATAAAATTGAAAATGTTGTCACCAAAGCCACATTAGACCCCAATGTTACATTTTAATAACCCACTAAGAACTTTTGAAAATATCAATAAAAATATAGAAACGGCATGATAGTGAGTAAGGGATTTTCGGTTTTGAATTTACCTTTATATTTTTAAATATTTATCAAATTATTATAGATCAGTATTATCAATAAACTGCAGCCATTGTAATGCAAGCATAAGGTGAACATTTGGCAGAGTGCCCATATAAATTCCTTTACAATTAAAAACCCTTAACCACAGGACCTTCCCTCCATTTACGCCCAATGAATTCCTCTTTGCGTCACTCCTCTATTCCATCTGTGTTTAGAGCAAATCTCAGTGACATTTTAATGCTTTTCCTCAGCTTTGTAGTGAGTATATTGATGTTATCATCTTTGACCCCCATATTTACATGAAAATATTTTATATGGTAGATTTCACTCTGCAGCATATATTTAAGCAATACAGTCTGCTGTGCCTAACATCACCATTATAAAAAATTTAAATGTTTAAAAATATATATATATTTTAATTAAAACTATAAATATAAAAATCTTTTTTAATCTCATCTAACATTAAAAGTTTTTGTTTACATAATATGTGTGTATTATTATATTTATCTTTTGTATATATGTGTGTGTACAGTATATATATATATATATACATACACTGTACACACACACACGTGAACAAAAACTTATGTTAGGTATGATTAATTGTGATTAATCGATTTGAAAGCACATAAATGTTCATTAAAATGTTATTTTAACATTTTCATTAAAATGAACAGATTCAAATGAAAGTTTCAGATAACTGTACATTTGAAAACATAGTTCTATACCTTCACACAATAGATATACCGTAGTTACTGAAACTGTTTTTCCTTTCCCTGTCAATATTTAGTTTTTTCTGCATTTGATGCAACAGCCTTCACATTTAGTTCTTTCTTCCAGGCTTTTGGGTGGCGTCTCATTGCGTTCAATTAAGAACCCAGATTAATTCATTTCAGTCCCTGTTTTGTTGTTTTAAATAGGTTAAAAGTTGAAAGATGAGCAAACTGTCATATCAGCATACTCCACCGGGGCAGACAAGGAGATGAACCTGCCTGGGAAAAAAAAAACAAAACTGCCTGTTCAATGAGGCCTCAAATTCCAAAACAATTTATCACCAGATTAAATATCCCTGAAGAGGAGATGGACTTGTCCATGGGCTGTTTGTAATTCAATGCAGCAGCAACATTGTCAAGTGCCAAGGCTGAACTAAGAGACTTATTACTCCTCTGTGACAAGTTTAGCCCCCGGGTGTCTGCAGAAAGCCTCTCGTTACACGTAAAAAGTACCCCCTTGTAAAAGTGTTGTCTGCGAGTAGTTAAAGTCATTATCGCACAGTATTTACAAAACATCCCATCAGAGCAGTTTGACATTTGACCGCCTATTTTGCTGATTGTGTACAATAGAGGTGTCATGGTGCTCAAAAAAGCTCTTTGGAATGTGTACAAACTTTGGGCAAAGTTTAGGTTATCATGTAGCACTCAACAGAAATGAAGACGTGCTAAAAGAGAGATAAGACAGAGAGAGAACATTCTCTCCCACATTCCTTACCTGCACCTTGTGGTGAGGAACCAGTTCACTGACACATGATGAATTAGCCCTCTCATTACCAAGGACAGGAGTTTTTCTTTCTAAACAGAGGAAAGGGCTCAGAGCAGCATGCAGCTTTCCAGACGTTTGTCATGACTTAATGACTCTGCTGAAATGTGGAAGTACATACTGGTAAAACAAACAAACTATAACACAGGCAACAAAATACCAATAAGAATTGAAAGTGTGTGTGTGTGTGTGTGTGTGTGTGTGTGTGTGTGTGTGTATATGAGTGCTTATGCGTATCTAATATACCAGCTTTGAGCTATTATATATATATAAATATAGAGCAATAATTATTTCAAATAAAATGAAAACTTTTTTAAATTATATTTAAACCTATTATTATTATATTTTTAAGATTTTTTTTTACTTCAATACATTTAGTGTAGATAATTTTCTTAATGTTTTTTTAGTCACAGAAGTACTCAAACTTACATGATGGCCTGATGATTGTTATCCAGTGAAAAATAAATAGTTTGTTTATATTGATAATGATCATTTTATGATAAACCATATTATACCAAAATCATTTTCTTGTCTGCAGTCCTCAACATGTTGTATGATCTTTTCTCTCATCAACTCTCTCACTGTGAAAAATTATTGTACTTTAAAAAACTTAAAGGAGTAGTTCACTTTTAAAAAAAACTTTTGCTGATAATTTACTCACCCCCATTGTCATCCAAGATATCCATGTCATTCTTTCCACAGTCGAAAAGAAATTAAGGTTTTTGATGAAAACATTCCAGCATTTTTCTCCAAATAATGGACTTCAATGGGAACCAAACGGTTCAAGGTCCAAAAGACAGCTTCAGTGCAAACTGCAAACTGTTCAAAGGGCTTTAAACGATTCCAGATGATGAATACGGGTCATATCAAGCAAAACAATCAAAGAAAAAAATGAACGAATTGACTCGGAAAAAGATTCGTTCATTTTAAATGAACGAGTTCGAACAGGAGAGTCACAAACATGCATCACAGAACAGAGCAAGGCGACCATTTGAGAATATAGAACTTAAACTTTGTTTTTTTGTTTTTTTTGTTTTTTTTTTAATGAGCGATTGTGTTGCTTGATAAGAGCAATGTACCGGTCTATATTGGAGGAGATTGTTTATAGATACCAGAAAGTCTCCTTTCTTTCAATCAATGATTTTTCATTTAACTTTAGGCTGTGTTGCGTATTTTGCCTTTTTTTATACAACAATCAAATCTGAGCAGTGTGCAGAAGTCAAAAGTTGAATCAGTCCAATGCAGTGATCACAATAAGAGGAAAAGATGTAAGATAACAATATCTGATTTCCGAGGCCAAGCCGTTTCATCACAGACGGCATAATGCACGTGAATGAAATCTATTGTCTGGAACATGCTTGAATATGGCAAACAACTCGTTTTATCAGTTCTGGTAGTCATCTCAAGGACGTGTTAAGCAACAATGCGTGTCAGGATCATACAAGAGAAGAGGAAACAGTTTGAATATACCATGCATCTGTGATATCCATCTGTTTAGAATTAGGCTTGGGATTTAGGAGGCAGTCAGTCATAATATTTGGCTATCTTGGACCTTTTTCTCTGGAAGACCTCCCCCTCTACGTCCTGGGAATCGCCCTCCATTTGCTACTACAAATAAACTTTGGATTCATTCACCAAGTTTGGTGACAATTGGATGTAAACTGTTTTCATCACTTTAAAGAGAGATTTGCCTCCTTGCCTCTCTAGTGAAAACACCTTTTGACTTGAGCCAACAGTGCAAATTATAGAGGAAAAACAAACAGTCTGGGAGGGAGCGGACCTTTTTGTTCCGCGCACAGATACGGATGAAAAGCCCCTGTTTTGGCAGATGAAGGATTGTCACGGACATGGTGTACACACCTGTTATTCCGTCTCTCTTCCATTATGAACACCTTCACGACAACAAAGCTGCTCCGAGCAAAAGACACCACCCATTCTTTCGTCCACCTTCGTGTTTTCCTCCACAAGAATAAACCCCATTAGCACCTTTAGAGTAATTATATCCTCTCAGGTGTCGTTTAATACCTCAACTTGACAGCTTTTCAAGACTCCCTGTCATGTTTATAAAGTCAGAACCCTTCATGTGACGTCAAAGGATGGGGCATTTACTTCTCGACAAAAAGAAATCAAAATAATAGGTGACACTGATGAACATTTGGATGTTTTAAAGTGTTTGGGTGTGGCCACAGAACACATGTATCATCATACACACACATTATTCACCTGATCCCACTCCTTGTTGTCGTCTTTGTTTCTCCTCCTCTGACAAAGATCCCCAACAAACCGTGTTTCACCTGCAGCAGAAACACAATGTAAACAAGTGACTGATGGCTTCTAATAATGAATGTAAAGAGCCATTGTTCTGTGTGGAGTCATTGCCTCATGTAAAGATTTAGTGTCAGGCCTCGGGGTTGCTACCTAATGCTTGTCTCACTTTTCCTTATAAACATCAAAGAGAGCTTGTCTTTAAAAGTCACAATAAAGCATAGGTAGAGGCCCGGAGTTTGCAGGGCGCTCATTCAGCAGACACCCACCCATGTCATTGTGCCGATGGGTAGATATCTTAGATGTCAGGGGATGCCCTGCGTGGCTTACTCGAAATGAACTCGGCAGAGCTGCCAAATCCCTACAGGAAAGGAAAAGGTTGTGTGTTTGTTGATGCGAGGAGGGCTTGTCTTTTGTGAAGGTAATTATCCAGTGTGCAAACATAGTCTTTTAGCTTCAGCGCGAGTACAGATGTGCGTTTTGTTTGTCTTGTTTGTGAATCCATGTAAGCATCTCCTGGGGTGGGGTGGGGGGGTGAAATCAAACCACAGGCCTCAAGGTCAGAAGTTCAGCTATCATCTCAGTTCCGTCTCAAATCATGGAATGATTTCAATTTGATGTCTTTGATAGATATCTTTTTAAATCTTAGTCTATATGACACATTAAAACTATTTTTATCATGCACAAACATTTATTTTTGCTAAATAAATGATTGTCCCAGACTAAAATTCTTGTTTTTGAGATGTTTTGACTGAAAGCAACTTGCACTGATCTTAAAACATGTCAGTGTCATTGTTTTGTCTCAAGATGGACATTAGTAATGTTTCCCTTTTTTTTTTCTAAGACACGTTTATAAAAGCTACGCAAATATCCTAATTGGGCTAGGGTTAATCCTGGATTAATATAAACCATGTCTGTGAAACCAGGCCATAGTCTATGAACATCAATCATAAAGAAATATCATTTTTAAAATAACGTTATAAAGCATTATAAATGATTTAAGTTTCACAAATTTGTTCCACACTGAACAATTTTGCCTATTGAAAGCTATTGTACTTATCAAGAGGAATAAATGCATACATCACTTAATTTTTATATTGACATATATATATATATATATATATATTTAATTATGTGTATTTAGGATACATGTAAAATTTGCTAATTTAAAGGAGCCTGCCATTATTTTCACAATATTAAAAATTTTGATAAGTGCTGGAAATTTTTATTAATTTCAGAAGATAAAAAAATGCAAAAAAATAAAATGACAGAATTATAATTTAATGTATCTATATTTGGACATCTTTAATGAAACTAGTGAGAGTGTGATTTTCTTAAAGTCTGCTGGACCAAAAGTTGGATTCATACTGAAACCTTAATTTTTCTTCGGAAGAAAATCAAAATATATTCACAGTTTGATTGTTTTGTTTAGTTCAATATATGACACATTTAAGTGAATGGATTACTTTAAAGAGTGTGGACTCTAAATTCTGTCGAGGTAAAAACTGAGGTCGTGAGAGCTCACCTCTAATATGTGCTTTGAAGGACAGTTGGCTGTGGGGGCTAATGGTATCCGTGGCAACCGCTGATAAGGATCATTAGTGGGGTCACTGGTTACTAAGGAAACCCATGCAGGTTGTCAGCAGGCGGGGGCAACTGGTCAGATTTGTGCTTCTGGAGCACAGCACATCCTGTGAGAAGATAGACTAGAGGTTAACCATAGCAGAGAATGTGGTTGTCGGGGGTCAGAGATAGTGTCTCTGGTGAAACTGCACCCCTCTTGGAAAGAGTGCCAAAAACAAAGCTCTAATAAGTAAGCAGCACACTTGATACCACTCTTTGTGGTGGTCCTTACCTGTCCAGGCATGCAGATGAAAACACAGATCTGATACGAACTCCTAAGCATCTCAGAGCCAAAAATCCATGTTATGAAACTATACAGAAATAGGGGCCAATTGTGATTTTGGTTACACTTTATTTTTAGGCGTTTTTGTTACACTGTAATTATACATTTATAATAATATTACCAAGTAATATTAAATAACTACATTATGGTTATATGATTAGGAGTTGGTTTGTGGGTTAGTTACATGTAATTATGCACAATTTATATTTATTACTATTGTAACTGAATGTAACATATGTAACAATGGCACTGTAAACTAAAGTTTGACTATTGACTGATATCACAAAGGAAAAGATTACTTCATAGAGGCTGCTCTTTTAAACTTAATAATAGAGATCTCAAGTCTTTTTGAAGAATGAGAAATACAAAATAAACACAAATGAGACAAATTAGATAGAGATATAAAATACAATGTTAGTCATTGGGGCATTTGATTAGAAATGTTTGAGTTCAGACTTGGATATCTTGGCAAATGTGAGTTTGAGACATTCTTGAGACCTCTGAAGAGATACAGATGAGATGGAGTCTTTTCTCATCTTTTTCCAGTTTGGGAAGAATTTGTATGTGTGTGTGTTTCTGAAAAATGCTTCTGGCAATAATACAACTTTAATCTTAAATTATGTTAAATAATGAAATGAGTTCAGTTAATGTATTCAGAAAGTTCACTTGATGTGCCAAATATAATACATTTTTAAACATAAAAATGTGTATAAAATTTCACACTTCATATTTATATATACACACCCACAGTCAAAAGTTTGGAAACATTACTATTTTTAATGTTTTTGAAAGAAGTTTCTTATGCTAATCAAGCCTGCATTTATTTGATGCAGGAAAAAACAGTAATATTGTGAAATATTGCATTTTTAAATGTTTTTCTATTTGAATATACTTTAAAATATAATTTATTTCTGTGATGCATAATCCTTAAGAAATCATTCTAATATGCTGATTTGTGTACAATATTTTTTTGGAACCTATGACACTTTTTTCAAGATTCATTGATAAATGAAAAGCAAAAAATAACATCATTTATTCAAAATAGAAACCTTTTCTAACAATATAAATCTTTACTATAATTTCTTTTATCAATTTAACACATCCTTGCTGAATAAAATTATTATTTTCTTTCAAAAAAAATTACTGACCTTTTTTTTTTTTTTAATTTTATCCATGAAAGGATCCTGAAAAAAGCATCACAGGTTATAGTAAAAGAAATATTAAGCACAAATGTTTCCAACACTGATTATGATTCAGCATATTAGAATGATTTCTGTCTCTTATTCTCACCAAGGCTGCATTTATTTAAATCAAAAATACAGAAAAAAAGTAACATGGTGAAATATTACACAAGACCCTTCTTCTATTTGAATATATTTTCATTTATTTCTGTGATGCAAAGCTGAATTTTCTGCCACATGATCCTTCAGAAAGCATTCTAACTCTTTTATGTAGAAAACAATTGCAGCTTTAGAAAGCTTATCAAACTTTCAGGCAAGGCCAACATAAAAGTTCACTTTCTTGTTTTAAATATGAAAGTGGAAAGATGTGATGTTCTTTTTAAATCCTTAAGATCAAACAGGAAAACAAAACATGTAATCTGCTTCTAACAGTGATGTGCTATCAGTGCTAGCGCTGTGGTTTTCGCCAGGGTGCATGGCATTCATCAAACACTCACGGACATTTTTTCAATTAATCTGAACCTTAAATGGATTTTCTCATGTCACAGAGCATGCAAAGTTTCCATGGTGATGGAAACCACTGCTCAGCATCTCGTCGGTAAAAAGCCACAGTGACTGACATGAGTTGAATACTACAAAAAGACTGTGAGGAGGAAATGTGCACATTAGAATATGCACATAGCATTTACCCTGTGACAACTCCCTGATGTGTTAAAACACAATTTGCCTCAAGTTGGGAAAGAAACAGACTATGTTTTAAAACACACGCACCCACCAAACTAGCCATACGTGATAAGAAAACTGATTAATCGTAGGTGTGCCTTTGCCGAAAGGAAATCGTTTGGAATCAATTATTACAATGGCACAGCTAATAATAATTTTCACTGATTGTTGACGAGTAAATGTAAGGTGTTTAAATTGACAGCATTATTATAGATTTGTGACATTCCCTCAAAGAATTTTAAACAGATTGCATTGTCCAAAGTGTTATGCCTCCTAGTTAGATCAGTATGGTGGCTTCTATACCATAGATCTAGAATAAATCCCAGTGTTCTCTGCAGGCACTGTCATGACAACATGAGTGCCTATGGCCATGTCGGAGAAATGGCCCCTGCTGACTGCCATCTTGTCTTTTTTTTTTTTTTTTGGTGGAGGGGGGAGACAAAGACTGTTGTACCTTTCAAGGGTGATTCTAGGTGTATCCAGTTTCACTCGACGCTCTCTCTCCTGCCCATTTGTAAAGGCAAAGATCATTAGCCTCTAAAATTACGTTCCTCCTTCGCTACTTTTTCCATCAGCCTAGTTCTTCTCCTCTCCATCACACCTAGACAAATTAAACATGCTGCAAATGAGATGCTGTCTCGCCATCCATAGCATTTTCATTCAATAGCAGGGGTTATTTAAGGTCTCTTTCTCAGCTAATCTTTTAAATGGTTGCTTGTCTTTAAGATCAGTATTGATACGACCCTCTGAAATGCCACCCACATAAGGAAACAGTATCAGTGTTTGAGTGATCCGCTTAACTTATAAACAGTGTAGCTTTGAGAATCGTCACAGAAAAAAGCAGAGATGGTGATGTTTTTTGAAACTGTCTCTGAGTATGTGTGTGTGTGTGTGTGTGTGTGTGTGTGAACTACACAAATCCAACTAAATAAGCCAAGATTTTGCACAATTCAGAAGTGAAGATCGGCTCCCTTTCAAGACCAGAGTTTGAATGTGAACTGAATTGGCCACACCCCAGAAAGCTGAATCAGAATTTGAATGGGAAGCAGGAGGTCTGCTTCTTCTACCTTAGTCTGTAAATGTGTTAAATGTTAATTAGTATAAAAAATACATACAAATGTCAAATTACATATAAAGAGGCTTTAAGAATTTTCATATATTAATTGTTTTTTGTATTGCCAATGTGTGAACAGCTTCTAACGAAACTTGGTTGTCTATGAAAGAACCAGAAATAAGTTCACTTTACAGCCACGGGTGTCGATAATGACAAGGGGATACACAACCCTTTTAAACAGATAAGCCTTTGTCAGTCTATTTTGACTGAGCATGTATGGGGGAATCATTCTGGTTGCCTTTTTACAACATTGGAAGTTTTCAAAACTTTTTCCCCCACATGCACTGAAACTCATTATAATATGCAAAAATGCAGTCACAGCAGTTGGCGTTTACTTCCAAGTCTCCAATGCGAGACGCCCATAAAAACCGCGCGTTTTTGAGCTAGGCTCAAAACTAGGGTAGAAAATAGCCACTTATTCATTTTGATGTTTTGAATGTAGCTAAAAACCAAGCGAACGTCATATGTTGACCTCAGACAACACTATAAACATTTTTAAAAAGCCAGTTCACGACCCCTTTAAAAATGACATAGCCTACTGTCTGTTAGACCTACCTGAAATCTATGGATCCTCTCTCATGACATGCAGGACACAAATGCTAATGCCTAAATCGTGCGCACACGATTTATAAATAGAGCAAACAAATTAGTAAATAGTCCACACAATTTGAGCACAAAAATGTTCTTGCATGTCATGTGTGGGGCTCCGTAGAAATCAAATCTAGGAATTGGATTTAAAAATCCCGAAATCAATTCTCCAATATTTCTGAATTGTGCACAATTTGCATTGAGATTGAGAGAAAACGTTAATAAATGTGACTTTTAGTTGGATTTATGACCCTAATGTTCTAGTTTAATGTTTTGTTTCTTTTTTTGTCATTTGGTATCTGGATTTCATAAATTTTGGAGGTAAAGAAATATTTAGTAGACTACCACTTACTAAAACACACATAATCTTTTTTAAGGCATTTATAAAAAACTGTTTGTTAGTGTTTGCTATACCAGGAACAGTATGCGCACTATCATTATAGGAACCATTGGAGGTTAAAGGAGCCTTTCAGGAGGTTACCCATAAACCACATACCAATTCTCTGTGTTTTTAGATCGATTCTGTACGTGTTTAGTCCAGCAGTAATGCTGCATTGCTTTACTGTAGATCCCATGTGTCCAACTCCAGACCAAAATATTTCTGTTATTTTTTTAAATCCTACCAATTTAGGTATTTTATTTCGCAGAGGAGCAGTTCAATTAGTGGCTTGTTTGGCCCCATAGAGGTGCCACTTATACTTATTGACTGTGCCTGTGCCAGTTCTGGGGTCAAGTTGTTTCAGTTGATGGTGCCAAGGCAGGTGCTAAAGATTAGTGCCGCCAAGAGTGTCTGTACCTTGAAGAGGCAGTGTTTTATCTGAAAACCGAATTGTACTAAGACGCATTCAACACAAACAGTTGGACACTGTAGTAATACTGAAAGGAATTTTTTGTTTATATTTCAAGCTGGTAATCTGGACTGCTATGAATCCAGCCTTAGCTGTGAAACCATTTCCTTTTTCAAAACAAAAACTAAGATAACATGATGGGTGTGAACAATCCCTTAATCTTTATAATACTAAATGTGAGGTGTTTTGCCACAGCTCGTATTTTGCTTGCACTTATTGGCGGTGATTTGAAGCAATTCAAAAACACATAATGCACTTTCGAGATCATTTGCATTTCTTTTCGGTCTCTTTTTACTGTTATCTTTTCTAGGTAAAACCCATGTTAAAAATATTTAACTATTGCATGGCAACCCTTTTTAGATTTTCAGCAAATACAAGCTTTTAATCACATGTACAATGACACTTAAACATAAAACGCTGATTTGTGGGCAATACTCTCTGAGGACAAAGAGGACAGGTGCTTTCTTCTGATCAGATACTGTATTTCTCTGTGAGGCCTGAGGGAATAAGGCTTTGACTCTCTACTGGGATAATTATAATGAGCCGTCAGTTATGTTCTCCTGAGGGTACAACATCTTACCTGTGCAGTGTTCATTGTGCTGATTTGTGATGTCTGAGTAGGTTGTGTCACTCTGCCGCTCCCAGTATGTGGACGGACACACTGATATTCCTGCACAAACATGGCGATTATTTTAGCATCTTCTCAGGTCTTTGGTCTTTGTCAGAGTACATACAAAGCCTAATTGAAATGCCAAAATTTAGACAAATATAAATGAAGCAAGATTTAACTGTTCGGTATGTTATATGTATTTATTTTCGCTAATCTTTAGCCTCCTTTATATGTAACGTTATATATTTAAGTTCTTAGTATTGGAGAGAGCGGTCCATTCTATCACATGCCTAAATAAGGGATTTGTGGGATTTGGCCACAAATTTGAGATCACTTTTGGGATTTTTTTTTTTTTTTAAAGGTGCCATCTGGCACATAAAATCAAATCATATTCCATATTCCATAACAGATAGGGGCAGTATAACTTACCTCCAGAAAGTGAGTGCGCACTCTCACGTCTTCAAACAACACAAGCGAGCGCTGTTTTGCTCTCTTTCTCGCGCATATTATTCAAATCATTTGACACGATAGTAAAAGGTTGGAAGACCGCAGTTTCACGTGGAGCATTTGGAGATTTTTACAGATCAGAGACTCAATGAACAACATCTCAACACTAAATGACGAAGACCGTCTAATAGACAACTGTCTCAAAAACAAGCTGGTGCATTTTGACGATATGGGAAAATAAAAGCCTGGGCTATTATTTTAAGTTTACGGTATTCGTTTTGTTCATATTACACTTTTATTGTTAGTTTGAATTTATTTGACAGACAGCATTCGCTGATGTTGATCAAGCTAGTGCCGTTCAGAGCTGCCAAATCTCACGAATTCACCGAGAGACACGCGCAATTGACACTTAGCAAGCAGGTTAGTTAAGCTCTCAGATTCTGTCAATTTTATTACGCAATTCAAACAATAAATACCGTTTTAGCGCTTGTACATGTTACCACAGATCCCTAGCGCACGTGAACCGATCATCTCTACTACTAGCTAATGGAAAAAGAACATGAACACTGTTGAAAGATACAGTAAGCTACAACTTACCAAAATGTATCCCTCGTGCATAATGTCGACCAATCATTTTTTGAACTCTTCCCTGAACTGAAATGTAGTAGTGGGCTGTATTTCCACACGACTGACATCAGGTTCAAGTACACACACACGCCGCGCGAGTTACTCGTCTATTGCAGTTTGGCTGGTGGTTATGTTGCCCACCCACATACCGCCTCCCATGGCCGAAACTAGTATTACGATACCTGCCGGGCAGGGGCTAGTATCTCAGCAGCACTTGTCAGTTTGTTAATGACATCATTGCACTTATTTCTTCTTTTGATGTGTGTAGCTCACTTTTTTGGATATTTTTACCACAATTATGGAATTTAATAACATAAACATGAGCGCAGGAGGAATTGAAAAGTGAGAGCCATACGCCTTATTCACGGCAGCGCCATCTTTGATTTTTAATGAGAATGAAAGCGAGGCTGTGAGGGATAGTCATGCATCTCTTCAATGGGCTGTATTGTTATTTAATGTGTTTTTGGATTGTTGCTGTTAATGAAACACTGGAAAAATATCTTTCAAAGAAATGTCAGTTGACAAAAACCCCCGACAATGTAAGCTGTGGAAAATTGTAAGTAATCTAGGAGCTTTATTCAGCTTTTTACAGCGGATGCCATTGGAAACACGGTAAGTCTATCCCTCACAGCCTCACTTTCATACCTGTCATGGCGCTGCTCTGAATAAGGTCTATAGATAGGACTAGTGCCCTCAAGCCATTTTTTTCCTTCCTTGAGGGAAGTGTGTGTGCTCATTGGAGTAGATCCGTCCTACAGCTCTCTCTGTCCTTTTCTTCCACAGTCGGGGTGGATGGGCTCAGACCTTGGCTGCTCCATGGCCCTGAATGACAGGGTCCCTCTCATTCGCACAAAGCCAACAAAGCTCCCGTCTGCCCTTCCCACCCCTCCTGACCTAGACAATGCAGGTAAGGAAAACGTCACACATTCATCGGGCCAGCCTTTACACCCATAGGTCAAGCCCTCTTAAGCCACTCGTTCCTCTTGTGTTAACAGCAATTAACTAGAAATGAACTAATTTACAATGGGCCGATCTTATGGGAAGCGTCCTATCCAAATGCAAAGGGTTGGTAGTTTGGATCACGCCACCATCCCACCTCGTTGCCCTCACTCTTTTCCCCAAAAAGAAAGGAATCATCAAGCTGTGGAGGAGTGTAAATTAGTTTTCTCTTTCTCTTTCCTGGTTGCTTCAAAAAGCCAACCGAACACCTCTCACCCCATTCCTCCTGTAATGAGGCAGGCTATACAAAGCTCTCAGAGTCTCTAAAGGTGCCATGTGCTGCGTAACAAAAAAAAAAACACACACGTTTTCTTGCATTTTGATTACATATAAGTCATTTAACTAGCCTATTTAAAAACAGTAAACCAGGTATAAATCAAATGCTGTTCTCAATCTCAATTTAATTTAATAACAATAATTTTTGTTCTTAATGTGTGTGCGCTTACTTGGATGGCTTAATTCCGAAGATGGGTTGCCATACTTGGCCTTCATGTCACTTCACTTCATAAAAAAAAAAATCACACAAACTTGTGTTGGATGAGCTCCGACGATGCGGTGAATTCCTAACCCTTAGCACCAATGATTAAGTCCCATCACTTCAAAAATTTCATTTAATTACTTTTCAAAGCCTAATAATAACAATTAAATGTAATCAGATAAAACTTGACACATCAAGATTATGATATGCACATATTTATTAAGAGCCCATATTTTCTTAACACACTTTGCTTTGCTTTACATATGTAGCCTACACTTGAGATAAATTAAATTGTCACTTTTCATCATAAATATTCACGTCTTGCAGGTTATTTGCAGAGTTGTTTAATGTGTTTGTTATTTTTTTTTTTATGTACTGTCTTTTAATTGAACAATTTTAGTCTTGTCCCCCATCCCAGGAGGGGGATCTATACGACTAGCATCAGGAGTGTTGTCAAAACACCTATCTAGATTGACAGGTCAAACAAGTGAGGCAAGCGATGTGATGCAGTGACCGGAAAGATGTGTTGAAGGCTGAAAGAGCGGGTGATGTCTTGTCTTAAAAGGAGAGAGTGTGGACTGTGGGAAAGAGAGAGGAGAGGCATAGATCCTGATTTTGTAAGATTTGAAGTGTGAATGTGTTCTTGGCTCAAGTTGTAAGGCAGTTCACTGCTGTCATATTCAGACGCTAACCACTAAAGAACTCCAGCTTGTTGTGGTGAGGGGACATCTCAAGAGAGGCTATTAATTTTTTTACCTCCTGGTTTCCCCTGTCAGCAGGGCTGAATATAGCATATGCAACTGAAATGTTCACTTTTTAAACATTTCTGTTGAAAGGCTAATTATTGGATTTTTTAACATCACTCAGATTAACCAACGTTCCATTTCCCGTGGAGTCCGATACATGTTGATGAAGAATAGCTATAGTTTTTCGTTAAATAAATCACTGCTTTATCTTGCCCTGGAGCAAGTGTTGATCGTTTGGATCAAGAATATTACTTTACGACACGTGTAAACCTCTTGAAAATAGTGATATTTTTGATAATTGAATATTCTTGCGTAACTGCAATTAAAACTTTTCAAGCACTCTGCTGGGAATCACCTTCCAAACAAATAGGTAACAGTTTCTTCCCCGTCATTCCCGAATGTGTGCGCACAAACTGGGGATTGTTATTTTCAGGATAAAAAAATGTGTGCAAATATTAAAAATGGAAAATAGCACACACTCATCCTCCCAGCTCCCACGGGGGCAGGGTGATATTGGGCACACCACTCTGGTGTCAATTTATGCAGTCCATGCTTCTGTTGCCTCGATTCATTAAGATGATTCACGCTGCTGAAATGCTGTGAGGAAAGAGACAGAGTGCAACAGAGAAACATTAATTACATGTGACTTAATTCTCCATACTCTTAGAAAGTGCATGCGACCATGTTTTACATTTAGACGCCAGTCTTAGAGGAATACAAAGAGATGAATAATATGCCGTAAGGTGTTTTGTGGGCTCCATGAAGGCATATTTCATGAATTTAGAAGTGCAGCTGTCCCTGTGGATTGCTCAGTGAGTGGTAAACGGTGGGAGAGAAATCAATGCAAAACTGTTTGAAAAAACAGTTCATAAAAGGAGTTTCTTAGAATGCATTGGAGAATCTAATTACAGCCTAATAAACACAGTGTCTCAAAGCCCACCACTGAGAAAGCAATGCAAATGGAGCTGGAATTCATACTAAACCACTCAGACCAATGAGCTCTGATCAATGAAAACAAACATAAGGAGGAATCATTAGCAATATTTCAGCTCCTGATAAAAAGCCCAAGTATTATGGCCATTTGTCCATTTACAGTTTGTTTTGCTATCGGATCAGGTTACATTCTTTGCTCCTCTTCTGCTAGTTTAGAGTCAGGATAAACATGGTATAATGCTACGTGTATATAATTAGTTTTTATTTTTGTAAATATGCATGATATATAATTACATAATTGCATTATGAATATATAATATATAAAATATATTTAATGAGCATTTTAGTTGCTATACAGTTCAAAATTGAAGTTTTTTTTAAAGATGTGTCTTATGTTCACCAAGGCTTATTTATTTGATCAAACCTGCAGTAAAACAGTAATATTGTGAAATTTTACTAAATTGTAAATAACTGTTTTCTATTTTAACATTTTAACTTGTAATTTCTGTGGTGATTTTTCAGCTTCATTACTCTAGTCTCCAGAGATAGACGGACGGACGGACGGACACGATACTTGATTGGATTCTTAACATAAACATATTTTTAAGGTAAATGAAGCTTAAGTATATATGTGATAGATAGATAGATAGATAGATAGATAGATAGATAGATAGATAGATAGATAGATAGATAGATAGATAGATAGATAGATAGACACATAAATATTGTTCTTGATTGGATTCTTAACATATACATATTTTTAAGGTAAATGAAGCTAAAATGTATGTGTGGAGTGGTGTCATCATAATTACAAATAATTGCCTAAATATTTTTGTCCTGATCTCAGAATAGTCTGTGACTTAACTCTCTTGACCCTGTCTTCCTCATTCAATACTTTATCACAAGTAATGTTTTGCGATGTTTGGTATCATCCTTCTTCTGTTGCATGATAAATTGCTCCTCTGGGATT